CTGGATGCACTCCTGCAGAACTCGTCTATGGGACCACTCTTCGCCTACCAGGTGAGTTTGTTTCCCCTTCAACTTTCAAACATGTTTCCGATAGGGCATCTTACGTGACTAGGCTTACAAACGCAATGCGTTCAGTTAGGCCTTCTCCGATTAGACCGCAAACGACTGATGTTTTCGTCCACCCCAGTTTACAGAAGACATCACACGTGTTTGTTCGCCACGACGCTGTTCGTCGACCACTTGAACCACCCTACGACGGGCCGTTCAAAGTGATTAAGCGACATGAGAAATTCTATGTAATTGAGCGAGGCGGACGCGAAGATACTGTCAGTATCGACCGTTTGAAACCAGCTTATTTCGAAGGCAACCCCATTGTAAGTGACGTTTCAGCTCGCTACATCCGGCCGACGGATGACTCAATTATCGAAATTCTCGACGATGTGCCTGGTAATGCACAGCTGCAACAACCAGCGGCGCAACAAAAAACACGATCAGGTCGAACCGTCAGGTTCCCAGAGTACCTGAAGTCATATTCAACTTAGCTATGTGTGTGCCAACCATTTTTTTCGAGGCACTATTTTTCTTATTTACCGGCACAAACCCTCGTACACTTTGCCTTTTTATATCAATTTTTATTTACCATGTAATAAAAACTAAAAAAACGGCGAAGATAAGCGTAAATTTTTCTTTTTCGACACGTTTATATATAAATAATTCCCATTTTTACGCAACGTTTTCGTGGTATTAAAGACTTTTATTTATATTCCAGGTGCAACGAGCACTGGACGGAACGTCGAAAGGAACAGATGACCGCGACCGACGTACAATTTCATTTATTGTATTTTATTTATTTAATCGCCACGACACCCTAGAATAAGGTTCAGACAACCAGGGGCCACCTCACGCAGTGAGCCCATCGGAGAGTTTTACCAGTGGAGAAACCACTGGGTTTTTACTTCCGGCTGGTATCGTCTTAGGGTCCTCACGAACCCACTAGGGGGGGAGTGATCTGTAGCGTCATACACTTCCCCAAAATCAATAGCCTAGGGTTTGACGACTTCGACATTGATGCTGACCTTGATAGTTTAACTGGACTCGCTAAGCTGAAGGCATCCGGTCAAGCATCCTCGCCATTTGGCACGCTGTCGTGTTACGTTGCATTGCTCGTATTCGACTCTCTAGCCAGTTAGTTGGAACGCATCGGTATTTTGGCATAACCATCCAAATATACTATTCCATCCGACTACGCTATCGTGTTCTTCCTTGGTCTCGTATTCGTGGGTATATAACAAGTTCGAATAATTAGTGATTGGTCTTTGCGTCTGTCAAGTTCGCACCAGGACAAATCCTAAACCGTCTTGACTTTCAGCTGCTACTGTTATTACATATACAAAGCTCTTTCTGCCCATTCCACTGAACGCAATTAGATTCATTTTTCTTGTGATAGCTATCTGGTTTTAACTAGCCGAAAAAATGTTCGCGTGAAGATCGTCAGTCTTCCCATTGGCTACGTAGCTTATTTACTTACGTATTCTGGAGGTTAAATCCTAAAGTAACATCCCAAAGAGCAAACCACAGAAAACCATAGATCACCTTCAAGATCATCGAAGAAGTAAACCCAAATAAAAGGACTCGAGGTTCGAGAGGTAAATATAAGGCTTAAAAGCCTAAGATTCGCTACTCTCACACCATAGATATAGGATATTGAACTTGAGCTAATCCAGTAAATTTAACTGAAGTTTTAATATATTGAAGAACTTAGAAGAAGGCCTGAGCACTCGAATTATATGAAGTGAATCCTAAGAATAGACAGTGTAACCAGCTTTTAGTGTTTGTTTGTTATCTTTGGGCATTTATTTGAGTTTGCGCCTCGTATGATATCTGACAGCACATTGGTATTGTTACCAATTTGAAGTCCACTTTCAATAAGTGGAGAGTCTTTCCTTCTGATTGTAAATTTTTACCATTTGTCGTTTCTCTCCTAATAAGTGCAATCTCTACCAAGGCGTCAACTCATTTTTCTCTCCCACATTCTCGTGTTGCCTACGTAAACTACTACTACCAAGCATACGCACACTCTTCTGCTTGTTCCCTTTCACCTTTTGAATATCAAGGCATTCACTTATTCACTTCGTGAATACGTATCCGAAACCTTGTTTCAGTTTACAAAAGTTAGTTCATTCTGCTTTAATCCTTATAATAACATTTACGTTTAACCTTCAAATCGAACAGCTGCTTGGTAAGTCGCTATCGACGAATCAGGCTTTAGTTACTGTTTATGTTGCATTTCTCCGAGCTTAAGCAATTACAAATTTATGGTTCAGTTACTGAACTTCCGAAGTGTTGCATTCCAAGCTATGTGGAGTTAGGGTCGGCAATCAGTCGTTAAGATGCTTGCTGATGATATACTTTGGTTATTATTTTTGAGTTTCTCATCACCTAATTTCAAAACAGTTGCAACCGTGCATCTTCTATCAAGTCACACCTTCAAAACGAGTTGAATTCCTGGTTTTCCTAACTTGTATAGCGTTTAAGATTCACATAGGTGGTTTACGTTCATCGTCAGGCTTGCATGGCTTTGTTGGCATTTCACACAGCTGGACTTCAAAGACATCGGGAGTGAAGTTTCACTACCTGCGTACTTTGTTGTTGAGGTGTTGTAGCGCTCATCTCTTACGACGTAGTTCTCTACAAGTAAGTCTGGAGGTCACTTGTCACTTCTTTACTATGAGGATCATGACGCATAATTTTTGCTAACTGTACCTCCCTAGCCATTCAGATAGTTTCAGTTTTTGGGTCGAACAGCTCTAATCCAACGTTGCATCCCAGTTATCATATGAATAAAAATTCACGGAGCTATTTAGATTAACATACGGTTTTTTGACCCTTACTACACTAGTCAGTTACATTCAAGAAGTCACTAATTTGATGGTTAATCAACTCATCGATTCTACACCACGGGGTAGGAAGCTCAATATCACTTTCACTGTCAAATCAGTTGCAGCCATAGTAGATGAGAACTAGAAAGGTTGAGCAAAGCTGTCTCTCGTCTCGTCTTCGCTAACCATTGTGTTCTTGCTAGTATTCTAAACAAGCCTTGATAATTACTGAGGACTGAAACCACTGTCTCTACAGTGGATGTCGTATCAAGTTTTCTCAGGATGAGCATTGCTGTCAAGTTTAGATGAATGCATAACTGTCTCCCTTAAATACATACATTGCGCCCTCATAATCCAATTGAGCACGCACATGGGTGGCTAGAGATCCCAGAGTTTTGACGAGCGATGCTTGCTGTCCAATTTCGCTTCGAGTTTGGACATTGGAAGCTCCTTCATGAAATCGATAACGGAGTCTTAAAAGAGACTAGGAATGAGGTTTCGATGACTTTAATCCTTAGCAGTGATTGCAGAGTGAGAGGCTGAGTAAGGCGCAAGAAGTTGAATATGAGTATCAGGAGGTTAAGGCAACAGAGGATAGGTCATGTTTGATTGGATGTCGTGTACTGCTGGAGGTGGGCAGGTGGTTGACATTTCCCGGCTGCCCACACTGTGGAAGGCTATTTCTTTTTAAAGTACCTGGAACAGAAAATGATTTGTGCGACCGCAGAGCCCAAACGACATCTGCTTGAGGTCTTTCAGAGAGCCATTTGTTTCTGGTCAACACTAACGTAAGGTACAAGGAGAGGTAGTGTCTTACACGACGTCCGCAGACAAGAAAGGAGCGATGACCACAGATAGATCATATTGTTGTAAGCCATCGGTGGATTACCGCTGTTTATGGATCTACCTGTTTGAACTGCGATCATGCACTAGTACAGGTTCGTGTATATCTGCATTTTACTAGCCACAGGGTGCAGTCGTCAGTGAAGCCTATCTGTGCTCGATTGGAAGTTTAGGGGGGAGACAGCTATGCATTCATCTGAACGTGACAGCAATAATCCTGAGGAAACCTGACGTGATATTAAGTCGGCTGTAGAGACAACGGTAAAGACAATTAGTAACTGATACGCGAGGATAAGCAAACGTCGTTGGATTTCCGCAACGTTATCCGAAGTGATTGGTGCAAGAAGGCTGGTTACAACTAGCTGACTGAAATGACTAGCTAAGACGTAAATTCTCTAGCAGTGGTGGGCAGCGAAAACTAGAGAGATGGAGAAGGAACAGCGTTAGATAACATCAAGCAACTATTCAGGCTTACTTATGATGTAGACAAAAAGAAAACGATGGCGAGTAGAACCATCACCGAAAAGGATGGAACGCTGATAACCACCCATTGCAGATGGCAAGAATGTTGAGCCGAACACTGAGAAACCCTTATCTTGAGTAGGGGTCGGTGAGAAGTGTCCAGATAAGTAGAAATCGCTCAGCAGATACGTTGAGACTGTTTTTTTTGAGGTACAGGGAAAGGTTATCAGGAAGCTCCTTATTGACAGCACGTAATGGTGAGTTGTTGACATCAAAAAATAGGCACGGCAGTAAGAGCTGTCTGTGAATATTCGGGAAGAAATTTGAACGAAGGATAAAAAAGCCTAGTGATCTTAGTTTATCAAACGATAGTGCTTATGATGGATTCATTCTTTTTCTTCGAAATCTCAGTAAGAATCTATTCACCTTATTCAGTTTTATCTCCCCGAGTAATCACTTAAAAGCTTGCTTATGTGATATGGTGAATAACGGTTTTGCAATGTTATTCACACGAGCCATATAAACAATGCTGAAATCCTTATAGCGAGGGATCAGTAGCGAGTTCTTGTTTCTCAAAATATCATGTAGTTGCTTGTTACGACTTTAATGTAACGTTGACTACAAGAAAATCACTGATTTGCTTATTCTATTATTCTGTAAAACTGCTTGGTTGATCTCACGTTGGTGTATTGCTTTCTTTTGTTTCCTAGATTCTCAGCTAGCAAAGTGGACTGGGTGCATCAAACCCGTGTTTCTCGAAGGAACAGCTGACATTTCTGAGAACCTCTCAAAGTTAACTCAGTTTTTCAATGTACTATGAGCTGTCAAGTGTCGACTGACAGTTCTAATAGTTTCACATGGGATGAATATCTACAAAAAACAAACGGTCGTCCAGCGAAACCAGAGTGCTTCAAGCAGGTTGGTCACACAGTAATTCACAGGCTATAACATTATGAGGTTGAGAAGACAGTTTAACTTTTTGACCATGATTTTAGGGTATTCGTGCGTAAAGCACGTTTGACAAACTCGTAATCCACTGTGTGTTACTTGCTGGCTGGACGTAATAAAGATGGGAAATTAGCACTCTGTTATCGCTTTTTTCTACCTGCATGTGATTCACTGACTGCTGAAGCTTATAAGAAGTATGACATTCAAAAAAGTATGAAAAATCACTAAACAACGCATGGAAGAAATACAGTCAATTAATTTACACCACGTAACTAAATTTTAAGATGTCTCGCACTTTTCGACTTGAGAACTCATTTCTTTAAGGGAATTACACAGTTGGTTACTGGTCTTATATTCTGATCTGACCATTTTGTTAACTGGTCACAGTTTAAATCAGTGTCACTCATAAAGGTAAAGTTGTATTTTAACATTCGCCTCAACCATTTCACGTATTTCAGTTTTATGGCGTTATCGGTTTCTTTACCTGTTTAGAATTACTTTGAAATCTGAGGATTTTGTACAACGACTCCATGAATGTAAGAAAGACACTAATTAAGAGTTGCTCCTTAACCACTTCGTACCTATTTAGCGTCAGCGACTATGACTAACCGAATCAGTAAGTTTGAAATTTTCACTTTGATTGTAGTGGTAATATCGTGCTTTTAAAGTTGATGTTTTCTGACAAATATTCAACACTTGTATCTTTTGCAGATTGTTTCTAGTTGATCCTATCTGAAGTCGGGTGAAAAGTAGTCAATGCTTTTCTCATTAAAATGCTGATTTCTTTCCCCTCCTCCTTCCGACAAGGGTAGGAATGCATCATCTTGAGATGTTATTTATTCATGGGAAAAACTGTGCTGCTGTCACACTCCTTACAACAAGCATTGCAGCTTCACCCTGGTATCCCCACCATGGTGTAAGTTTTACACTATGATATTCAACTTCTTTGAGTCCTACCACTATCCAACAGATTTATCTACCACGGTGAAACTTCAAACAACAGTCATTCCAGTCAGTATATCTCTTTGGGTCATTGTAGTAAACCAAAACAAACATCACCACACAACGTTAGGGGCTTTAAACCTGGTGCTTTTAATTGGATGTATTTTTTCGATGTGCTATCCCTTTTTGTTTTCCTACGCTATGAAAGCATCTGTTTACTACTTCTTCAGTCCATTGTACCGCCACTTAACAAATTTGAAGTCAATACAATTCTGGAAGCTGAGGACCAGCGCAGTACAGCTCTAGTTCTAAGCCCACTAGCATATTCCGCCGATGTGGTTAGTACCCGACGCACTAAACTCAGTGGTTCACCACTTATTTTGGGCACCTCATGTAAAAGATCCAGTTGGGATCCTCATTTCAGCGGAACTTTTCGACGTTTCAGAGCTGCTTCATTCAGTTTGGCTCGTGTAATAGAAACTTGTGGTCCGCGATTACGGATACGTCTCGTTGGGACCGATGATCGCAATGACTATTGGTTTTTGGTTGATTCTGATCAGATTAGGGCTTATCCATCTGGAAACCCTTTGCAACCACCCTTTGGATATATGCATAATCACCTAGTTTGGAATCGTACACTCAAAAAAGCAACTGAAGGAGCACGTTTTGCCGATCCTTCTTGGTTCGTTAAAGTAAGTTACATTCTTCTGCGTAATTCATTCCTTCGTTCTCACGTAGTTTTCGAATAATTAATGTCGTATCTTTTTTATCCCAGCAACCTCCTGATCCAGAGGATAACTATTTCCAAGTGAATGATAAATTGGAAGCAGTGGATCGCAGAAACACTCAACTCATTTGTCCTGCTTCCGTTGGTGCTGTGAATGGACATCATATTTTGATAAGCTTCGATGGATGGTCTGGAGCTTTTGACTACTGGACTCGTTTCGATAGTCGAGAATTGTTTCCCGTGGGATGGTGTAAATTGGCTAATTACCCTCTACAAGCACCTGGACCAAATGTTGTACGATCTCCGAATATTCATTCAACTCCTGCTCTTTTGTACACACCTCAATGTGTTGCTCAGACTCTTTGTGATTCATCTAAGGGTGCATCTAATATATCTTCTAGTACTTGCAACCGTATCACTAAGAAAAGCAAACGTCTTTTTCTCGTAAGAGATCAAGACTTTCAAGCCAAATTAAACGCCATAATAATTTGATCAGGAATAAATTATGTGAGGAAGCAGAAAATGCAACACCTTATACACACTCCTGCGAGTTATCAGCAAAACCATGTGTAAATACAAAAAAGGCATTCTCCCAAATTTCGTCGAAATCGAATTCCCATGGCGTCCTTTCTGACCGTATGGATAACTTTGAAAACGAACAGAATAGTTTTATCGTTCTGAATTCGCTTAACGTAACATCAGTTGGTTCTTCTAATCATTCCTTATCTTCACCATCAGTAATTCCTCCCATTCTAGAAGATGCAAGTGATTCGTTGAGTGTGTTTTATTCATCATCACCCCCGGATCATCCTCCTTGCATCGAAGCGTCTGAATCTTTGTATGACTACACAGCTGAAGGTCATCAACAGATTTCCAATTCTTCTGATTGTGTGGTTCGTCTTCAGGCTCAGCCATCTGTCATAAAAATGTCCAGCATAATAAATCCACAGGAGCCAGGACTTAAGTCGTGGAAAGTGGTCACAAAAACGAAACAAAATGATAAACGATCGAAACAAAAGCGCCTCAGTGGGACTTTTGGGAAGGGGCATAGTAAATTTAAACATAAGTTGAAGTTAATTAAGTAAGTTACCCCTATATATTTCATCAGATCCTGAGAACATGGCTTTCTTAAGTTTCATTTTGCAACTTGTTAACCCGTTAGTCAACAAATATATGCATTAGATTTGCATCACTTATCCTGTCTTTTTTATGAGTATTTATATTTCCCGAACATTTAGTTTAAAGTTTAATACATTAAACGATGAAGCAATGTCAGGGATTGTATTCCTGTAGTCATCAATGATCAGAGGATGTTGCTGTGCTGCAGCGCAAAGAATGCTTAGATCGTCAGTGTGATCTAAAGCTTAATATTCAGACTAATGTATGCTAAGAGATACCTTTGGAAACTGCCGTTAAAATTCAACGTCACTTGAGTCACTCCAACATAGAATCACCAAAAACATAGTCGTGGAAGTTTATATAAATTTGCTCATTAATAAGTGAAAGTTCCGGTGTTTGATAATTTCTCCTAACTTTGAGTTGGAAGTCATTTACTCAGTATCAAAATAGGACATGGTATCATTCGGTAACGGTCCAAGTCACCACTCGTATAAGCACATCAAGCTGAGAAAGCACCATGATGAAAGATAGAGAAATAAGGAAGAAACTGATAATACGAAGGAATGAGACAATAATCAAGTTCAGGATAACTGTCGAGATGAAGATAATGCATATTTACATCTGAGGCATATCGTCCTAGTTTCCAATCACTTTTTTTAGTTGACTCACGAACCCCATGCGTGTCTCACACTGGAAGTCAAACACTAGATGGATTGTTGTCCTGTTTTAGTCTGGTCCTATCTAACCTATTTCCAGCCTGAACCTACCTCAGTTCAACATCGTATGATGAAGCAGACAATGACTAGGCATGCGTAACACATATCCCACTGTGCAAAAGTCCACTTCAGTCTTGAAAGTACCTGAAAAAGGAATGGCATTAATAATGGTGGTGTGAAACCACAGAGCCCTACAACTACTCGAGACTAGTTATACAGCTTTTCTGAAAATTTCAGGTTTAGATTTTACTGATTTGCATCCGACTAGGAAACCTCTACCACCTACACTGGAAGATCACAGGACAAGGGTTGTTGATTTTTCGGGTTCACGTTCTTTGCCCTTTCCCTTGAAGAAAACTTTAGTACGTTACTGCTGACCATCCAAGGCAAAAACCTCACCTGTGTCACACTTACATCCAGGCAGCAGTGCAGCTGCTTTCTCACCCCATCATAGCATATTTAAATGCCCTATAACGGCAACTACTTGGCTTACCATTATCCAGAAAACGTTTTGAAATGATAGGGCCTCAACGAAGCAAGTACTTTCACCGGCATAGCTCATTGAGTCGTAGTAGTATTCACGACCGACTATCATGTCAAGGTTGCAGCTATTGGTCGGGTTTAGTCTGTGGGTCTTGGGATGTTTTGCGTGCCAGGTAACCATACCTGCCTCTGTCTGCAGCTTTAAAAAGCTGTTATATGTTGCCTCTGTGACTCACTATATGTCTTCATCTAGTCGATGTAAAGACCAGATTGGGGAAAGAAACTGGTAGCAGTTTTTTGCGCCACAAATTTTTTTCTTTCTAACTGATCTATTGTATGGCTTCCATTATTACCACAGTAACTTGTGGCTTTATTAACTCTTTATCGTCGTAATGAAATTCTGGTGAGCTTCCACAGACGTAGTATTTATTGACAGAGATTCACTGAACTCGCAAATTCTCACACTCGCCAGGAGGAAACAGGGTATGTATGACTCATTAGCCTAGACATTTAACCTGAGTTCTGGATATAGACCCTACTCCGACTTGGGCAACTGGGTATTATAAGTCTGTGCGCTCTTAGCTTAGCGTTTATAGCCTTTTACGTAAAACACGCGCACTGCAGCTAAGTTTTAGCAATACAAGTAATAATAACTATTCATAATATCAATGTTAGTGATGATAATGAGGTGTAATGACTGGAGGTGAAATGAAAACTCGTATCACAACAAGACTACAAGCAGCAGCTTACGGATTACTGGTGCGACACTCTGTCAGCTGAGCTAAATAATCCAGCTGCTGACTGAGCCTTAACTTCACTGCTGTGATCCAGGTTTTCATTTCACTTTCGATCATTTCGTATAGATAATACGATTCTGCCACACCAAACAGGCCAAGTAGTTCCATCAACAAAATAATAATAATAGTAACAGTAATGATGTCTTTTAACTCCAGCCTGTGCTGGTCTTTCTTCTTGTGGTTCGTTAGTTAGTCTTGAATCTAACTCGATTTCATATCCGTTTACATCCAACTTGCTTGTATCAAGATATGTTAAAAAGACGATTTTGATTAACATCAAAGTTGAGTGAGTGCCGAAAAAAATGTAAGTCAGGCGGAATAGCTTCTGTGTGTAATAATTTGCTACTGAATTTTATGAGGAGGCCTATTGCGTATGTTCTATCATATTTTTCTGAGAGATATTTGCTTTCTTTATCGGTGTGAAATTTGTTTTTATTTAATCTAGTGTTACTTATGCAAATGAACCTTTTTTGTGATCTTTCAGGAGGAAGTTAACAAGTCCTATGTTGTGTAATTTCGATTTTGTTGATTCTGTTCCCTGTGATGTGAACGGTCTTTCTGATATAAATCATGATTATAGAACTTCACAAACATATCCAGAAGGTGACCCTTGTATTTACGGAAACCAGGCTAATATCATTGCTTCTCATCAAGATGGGGCTAGATTAAATTGTACTCCACTCTGCAGTGCAGAGAGAACAAATGTATTAAAATCTAAAGTCAATAGGCGGATGACTCATCCCCTTGGCTCGAGTATGCTCTTCCGTACACATGCTTTTCGTGAAAGCATCCATCCTAATGCATACTGTTCTGATGAGACGGATTCACCTACTTGTGAAAATCTTTCAATAGAAGTCTCTGATACACCGTCATGGTTTTCTGGAAAAATAGAGTCCAGTTCTAGTAGATCTTCGTATCCTGTGTACGCACAACAGAATATCGACAGTTTAGATAATCAAAGTTGCACCACACATCTTCCCTCTTCAACTGTGTCTCCGTCATCACTAGGTAAGTTTACATTGACATCTAACAACGAAAAAGTAAATATGGTGATATCACTTAACTTCATATCAGACACAATGCATTAGTTTTAGGCCGTAGAATTTAGAATGGAGTTGTGGATAGACACTGCAAAATAAAACTTACCACAGGAATTAAAAAATTACAAGTCATGTTTCAGAAAAGCAAAACTATTCAAAATGGAAGCAGTTCAACTAAGGTGTCCTGCTGAAAAATACGAGTAGATAGAAACCGCCCACCCCTAATCAGTATGACAGCAACGCAACCAACACGGCACTCAGCTACCTTATGCAGTAGGCAATGAGCCATATCTGTTGTATGAAGGCTAGTAATACTACTTGGCTGTCCCACTGTCGGTAGGTGGGGCTAGGCTCTAACCTGTGACCCAGTAGTTGCTAGTCATCTCCCTAAACAACAGGTGCTTTAATCAGTGGATTTTATCGATCTCACTAGGGTGATGTAAATACTAAAATGACCATTTCGTTCATTTAAGCCAATTCCATCGGTATTACATCTAGACAAGCTCACTTCATAATGAACCTCAATTGTTCACAAAGAGTGTTCCTGACGATATAATTTTCACGGACTTATACATCATAAAATCAGTGATCAACTTGCAATTTATCTACAAGTTATTGTTTTCCGTGTATTCATATTGAAGTTCTGTCTTCTGTCACAACAGCGATGGAACAACTTTAGGTTGCGACAGCGAAGTAATCATTTTATGCATGTAATATCTTGTAAGCAATATTTGAAATCTGAGTACTACAGCGTATGTGCTTCGTAATCCAAGGTAAAAAACCATTGTGTAAATTCACAAAATTTGGATGAAATATCATTCATCCTGACCGATATGATGGTCGGGCTTGTATATCACAAAGACCCAATAAGCTACACTGACTGGGACTCTTTTTCCCTCGTGCTCCTACCGTACCATAAAGGTCACTTGGATAGTGATGATAAGCAGTTACCGTCGTAGTGTAAATTGCTACTCTATGATAGGGATCAGAGGGGAAGTCGTACTGCTGGTTGGATGGGGTTTTAACAGCAGTGAGACGTTTCCCTTGAATGACTGGCATTGCCACGCTGATGCCGTTTTCCCTTTAGAAAGGGGGAGAGATTAGAAAAGGTCAGCCACGAGAATAGCAAACTCCCTCCTACTTTACGGTCTTCTAGTGGTGGCGGTATGGGTTTTCTCTGTCCAGCGTTAGAACCAGTAAATCACAAAGCAACAATCCTCAAATAGGTGTGTGACAAGCCTCAAGGAGATATCGTTTGGGCTCTGCGGTCGCACAAATCATTTTCTGTTCCAGGTACTTTAAAAAGAAATAGCCTTCCACAGTGTGGGCAGCCGGGAAATGTCAACCACCTGCCCACCTCCAGCAGTACACGACACCCAATCAACTATGACCTATCCTCTGTTGCCTTAACCTCCTGATACTCATATTCAACTTCTTGCGCCTTACTCAGCCTCTCACTCTGCAATCACTGCTAAGGATCAAGGTCATCGAAACCTCATTCCTAGTCTCTTTTAAGACTCCGTTATCGATTTCATGAAGGAGCTTCCAATATCCAAACTCGAAGCGAAATTGGACAGCAAGCATCGCTCGTCAAAACTCTGGGATCTCTAGCCATGGATGTATGTTGTGTCTGTGAGACACGTATGCAGGACCCGAGTGTGGTTGTTCGCTTGACATCACCTGGCCTGGCCTTCGTAGTGAATCCTCAAAATTCACCTTACGGGTATTCAGAGACTCAATGGCTAGCTCTCATGGAGTCGCTAGTGTGGGCCTGGCATTGGGTTGTAGATCAGGAAGTGCGGTCGTCGACAGTATACCAGTAAGCAGCCATCTTTTTGTTGTTCGACTGAATGGATCTGTGAGAACTAGGAAGGCTCGTGAGACGAGGCGGTGCCTATTCGTAATTTTCGCGTATGCACCCACCAACTGTAGTTTGGTGATGCGAAGGATGAATTCTATGAAGAGCTATCAATCTTGCCACAGATAGGAAAACGTTTAGATGTAGTCACAATTGCAGGTGAATATAACGCTAAAGTAAGGAGGCTGAGCCAATCAGTAAGGTATATCGAAGGTATTTACGGAATTCCGTGTAACGAGGCGAGGACTGTGATAGTCTGTTGCAATTTTGCTCGGACAATAACGTTTCTGATCAGCAGTAACTTCAAGCATAAGGAGAGACAGTGTCATTTGGCTTCTACCAACATGAAAACAACGATGGCCACACGTAGATCATACTACAGTAAGCCATCTTAGGAGGGGATTTGTGGTGGATTGGAAGTTTTTTGAAACAGCTGTAAAGGCAATCAGTATGGTACACCCTGAAGTTTAGCGGATATCCTTGGATTTTCTCGACGTTATCCGAATTGATTGATTTTAGGAGACTTGTTCCAGTGGTCTCTGACCCTTATGAAGAGCGAAAGCAACTTAAAAGTATGTTAACTACGAGTCTTCGCGTCGATCACGAGCAGTGGTGGTTAACAAAATGGAGATAGATGGAGAAGACAAGGGTTAGGTAACACTCAGCAACGAGTCACGCTTACTAATGATACAGGCAAGAAGAAAATAATGGCGAGTGAAACCATCACCGAAAAGTATAGGACGGCGATAATGATGTGTGGAACACTTTGAAACACATTTCAACTGACCGTGAGTACCGCCTTAGCTTCTCAATATCCAGTCTGAACCTAAATTGGAGCGTTATTTGTTGGTCCTATAACTCTCCTTAAACTTGGGAAGGCTGTATCGAACCTGAAATGATGCAAAGCAGCAGGACCTGACAGTTTATCACTTGAAAATTTCAAGGATGGAAGTAGAAAAATGTTAATAGAAGTGACAAAGCTACTACGTAGTGTATAGGAATCAAAGTTAGTACCGTCAGACTAGTGTACTCCACTGATCATTTCAGTCTGTAAGAAATTGGAGGAATCTCTCGTGACAACCATTGGCGAATATTGTGTCCAATATCCTAGGGTTTATAATTATCTGACAACTAACTTGATCTCCAAAATAGCGAGCTAGAGAAAACTAGGCATGTTTCAGACCTGAACAGGGATGGTTCCATCATATTTTCACCCTACGACATGTTCTAGAACACAAATGTACCTACCGGCAACCGAAAATTGCAATACTCGTTAACTCTAAGACGGCATTTGGAAATGTAAACTCGAGTAAATGAAACAGTTTTCAGACTAGGACTAGATTGTGTCGATCAGATTTTCACTCTCCAACACAGGCATATTTACCGGCTAACGACGGACACTTCTCATATTTATTGACATTTGACTCTGTCGACCATGAGGTGTTGTGACATTGTCTGACTGTGATGGGAGTACCGATCAACTATAAAACGCTAATCAGAGCTGTTTACTCGAGGTCACGCAGCCGTATCAAGGCTCGTGGAGAGTTGTCACGTGAACTGACGACAGCTGGTCGTGTTCGCCATAGCCTTAGTTACGTCTGATTCCACAGGGGTTGATCTATTCCCTAGATATCACCTGGTTAACTTGGAGTATGCAGACGATATTGTTTTGCTAGGTGAAGATTCTGACGAAATGGAGGGCCTTCTGGCCGTATGAGTAGAAATCTGAGAATATTTGGCATGTGTCTCACTGGTACCTGTCAAATGTGAGATGATGCCCCAGGACTCGTCGGCTGCAAGTACTCGCAGTTTAATGATAAGGGGTGAAGTGGTTCGATGAGTCGACCACTTCACTTACCTGGTAAGTTGCATCTGCTCGAACGAGGTTGTCGCTGACGGATCTCAGCTCGGATTCAGAAGGCCCGATCAGCATTTGCCAAGTTGCGTCACCTGTGGTGCCAACTGAAGAGATATCCGAGTATCTATCAAACGACGGGTGTACTGTGATGCAATCTGTTCTGTCCTGTTATATGATTGTGAGACATGGTCGTTAAAAGTGGAAGACATGAAGTGACGGCTGGATTTCGATCACAGATGTCTTCGTAGTATTGCTCGTGTTTGGTGGAGTCACCGTATGAGCAATGTTGAGGTTTGGGGAAAGGTACCAAGCAAGACAGGCAGGTCGATTGATGAGGCTGTGAACCTTAGTCGACGTAGATGGCTTCGATATGCACTGTACATGCGGAATCACCACCTACCTCGAAGTGCGATGGTAGGTGCATTCGCATCAGGTAGGAAGAGAGTTCACAGTGACCAGACCAAGGTCCGACATCAATCGATGAAGTCTCTTACTGTTGGTCTGAGTCGTGTTGAGAGGTGTAGACTGTCTGGTGGGGGTTGCTGAGACGAAAGGAATCAGTGGTTGAGAACTTGGCCTTCTCATTTTTCATACCCTTATAGTACTCTGTCTTCTTTGAAGTCACTACGTTTTCATTCTCCTGTTGTTTGTGTACTTCTGTGAATTGTGACGATTTCAGCCGATGCACGTGTATAGAGGGATTTGCATTGATGTAGTCAGCGATTTAGAGCTCAGCTGGTCCTTAGCGTAATTCTCCGTGGGCGATCGACCACAGTGGTTTGGACGGCATAATGCCACAGCGGCGTGAACCCGGCAAACGGCCGGGGGGCAATGAAGTGTTATGATTGTCAGCGTCTCGGGGCACGTTCCACCCTTCTCGTGTTTTTGAGCAATTAACCCGTGCCTCATTTGTCGTTCAAACACCTTAGGTAAAATGTTTTATAACAGCAGAAATTCACTTTGCTCATGGACTTTGTGACAGGGACTTACATTGATTTAGTCAGTGATCTATTTCTCAGACCTGGACAGGGTTGTCTCCGTCATATTTTCACTCTATCGGCGACCGACACTTGCATGTTTGTTGACTTGAAGGCGCATATGACTCTGTCGACGGTAAGGTGTTGTGACGTTGTCTTACTCAAAAAGGAGTACTGAACAGGTATTCAACATATTTGCAATATCGAGGTCAGTCTGAAGGTACTTAACGAGGTAGACAAGTCGATTGAGAAAGTGGTGATCCTTCACCTGTTGCATGCGTTGCGCATGCCCATCCATCGCCCATCTCGATTCGCAAATTTCGGAAAAGTTGGTTTTGTTTGGATTTGGGCTCAGAGTAACCAGACCACAATCTGGCACCACTCTATGAAGGCTCTGACTGTTAACCTGAGGCGTGCGGAGAGATTTAAAGTACCTGCTTCAGTTTTTAAGACCATAAAAATCAGTGGTTGAAAACTTTTGATAAAGTGGCTGAAAATCGGTCGCAAGGACGCATTTGGGTCCACTCTTCAACGTCTAAGCCTTGAATATTTTCACTCTTTTCCATTTTCGGATTCGTTCTCCACCCATACACCTTTGTATACTTTGATATCATTCTTTTTCCTTCTACTTGTTCTTTGCATACTAGTGTGAAGTGTGGCAGCTTAAACAGATATGCTTTTGTGCAAGGTTCTACGTTATTTTCGTTAGTCGACTAATAATCATTCCTTTGCATTGAATGCCTTAGGTACATTTCTCAGCAATTTTTCTTTGCTTCACTTTGATGCATTTTCCCGCAGGTGTTATCCATTCTTTTGTATACAACTTTTCAGACTTGGGTTCACTCCCCTTTCCGAATCCAACACAGTGGACGATTGATGAAGTATATACGTATATTACAACTCGGGACACGAGTCTTCTGGAGGCGGCGGAAAAGTTCAAACATCACGTATGTCTTAATAATCGTTTGTAATGTTAATGTGAGCTCTCTACTCGGACTGACACAGCCGTCCAAGAGCTTCTTGGAAGTTTTCATTTGCGATGAAGCCAACTAGTGATGTCCATCGAGGATGGCCAATGTCACCATTTCTGTTCAACTTTGGAAAAGACGTGCTGATGGGGATACCCCTCGGTACTTCCATCTTTTCCGATATTGAATCACTTCTAGGTAAGGTACACGATGAATTTGTAGCATGAAGGTGTGTTGTATAGTTCTGTAGGGAAAAATCACCGGCAAAATACGTGCTCGGCCAAAACCTTGCAGAGAAATCTTAGTATGTTCGCTATGTATTTTAAGCCTTTTAAATGTATTATGGTATGTACTTTTTCCTAGATTAAGGATATGAAGTGGTGTGGTGGGAGGTGTTGATCACAGCATTTAATTAAAGTGTCAAATTAATCCAAATGGTTGATTCCTGAGATAATCTCAACTGAGATTGAAATAGCTCGTCTGATGAGTTGTCAACTAAGGTCATGTTGTGCTCTGGTTAGCTTTGTGAAAACCAAGTTTGATCGTTGATGTATTGGCTACACATCTGACCTCCATGAAATGATGGTTATAATCTATTCCATTTTATGGTAATTTAGTTGGTTGTAGCTAGCAGAAGAATCCAGGACGCGCTTTCCGTCCTATTTGGGACTCGTCAGCTGGTTTTAAGTTTTATCAACTGAATTTTCTCTGGTATCTGTGCATCTGACATATATAAAGTATAAACAGTCAACTCATACCGATTCGAAAATACTATGACGGTTTCTGCTGTTATCTTGTTCGTAATGCTGAATGAAACACGGCTAGCTAAGACTTAATTTGACCTATCAGATACACATATCGGTTTATTAGCTCGTGTGCTATTCATGCAACTTTTATCGGCTGGATGTTTTGTAATTCTTATCTTATAGGAAATCGATGGACAAGCATTGCTGCTTCTCAGCATGGAGTCGCTTCGTCATTATATGAAGATTAAACTAGGTCCAGCTCTGAAAATGGTACATCTTATTAACCGATTGAAACGTGGGTTATTATGATTTTTCACGTACACTTCTATGTACACGATTCACCTACCTTTCTGTACTTTTCTCTAGAATGTAGATGAAGCTTGTATGGTCTTCATACAAAAACTGATTCTACTTTGTGTATCAACCACAATCTATTTCTAAACTATTTTCTTAGCATTTTGAAGAACTGATTGGTAACCATATTTCATATCACAATCTTGATATATTCACTCAATCACTTTAACTATATGACGACTATCGTGTGAAAAAGATCATACTTTATTTACCGGGACCATTAATTAACTACAAAAATGAAGTAAACTTATTTCCTCAGAATCTTGGTTTTTAATCTATTTGTTCTAAATGACAAATAAGCTTGTTACACTGAATATCTCCAACATGTATCAGAATCGTCTATGTCTCAAATGTTTCAGCTGTGGTCACGTCTTGACATGTTCTGGAGTTACAGACAATTGCGAAGAGATGTGCATGAAAAACGTGTAATACTAGATGAAAACATCTATCCCATCAAATCGAAATCCACCCAGCAATCTTCTGCACGTTCCTTCAGTAGACAGTGAGCTACACTTCTTATGACAGCTCAAACATCGATAGATAAAGCATATTGTAATAATAACAATTAACAATGGCTTTATTCTTAAGGGGTTTGAAGCGACGACAGGAGTAAGACAAGGTTGCTGCCTACTATCGCCGATAATCTCCCTGATTATGGTGGACTGGATCACGCAGAAAACGGTGAGGAGCGAGAAGATGAGCATACGCTGGCTGGGCTGATTTAAAAACCCTAGAAGATTTGGATTTCGTTGATGATAATGTATGTCTAATGTCTTGTCGCACAAACTCGAAGATCTACAGACAAAACCAACAAGTTGACAGAAGAGGCAGCGAAGGAAGACGAGAATTTAAGTGAATGTAGAGAAGACAGAGGTGATGATGATACCCAACCAACAACAACAAGCACCAATCACCATGAACGGAGAAACCTAAACGAAGTAGTGTCTTTCACCCACCTACCTAGGGAGCATCGTTTCAACTGCAGGTGGAACAGACGAGGATGTCAAAACCAGGATTAGAAAAGCAATATAGGCTTTCACTTACCTGAAATCACTGTGGAGATCTACTGCACTCAGAAAAATGAACAAGATCCGGATTTTCAACACCAAGTCAGTGCTTCTATATGGTTCAGAAACTTGGTGCATCACGAAAAGCATTTTCAACAAACTACAGTCATTCATCAACAGCTGCCGTCTACGCTCACTCGATACTGAAGGTCAGATGGCCAGAAAAAATAAGCAACAAGGAACTCTGACTAGCAGAGAACCAACCAAGAACCTATCGTCGAACAGATACGCGAAGAAAGTAGAGATGGATTGAAGACACACTGAGAACGCCGACTGCGGACATCAAGCACCAGTTCTTCGAGTGGAATCCAAAAGGGAAACGACGAGTTGGGCGTCCAAGGGTGACATGGAGGAGATCATGTGAGGAAGAAGTGAAAGTTTGTGGGCAGTCGTGGCACCAGTTTCAAAACACTGCAGAAAATAGAGTGCAGTGGAGGCGTAGTAATGAAACCCTATGTTCCACTAGGAACCCGAGGGAAAAATAATATCCAAGCAAATGTAGAGAAATTTGTAGAATGGGGCACTACGATATATACAGAAATTCGGAAGTGGTATATCCCGTCGAGTAAATAACATCGTATCACGTATATCAAATAAAGAAATCTAATACGGGATATAAACACAGCCCCGAAATTGCTAGTGTGTTCGTTAGGTCATGGGAGCTAAACGCAAATAAGAAATGATAAAATGTGTAACTATGTTTGATTGCTACTACAACTGTGGCCTCTGTGTCTACTACGTATGTTGATCAATGTATCGAGAATAATCAGTGTAGACTCATCACTTTATCGTGGTGTCGGTTCTTCGGCGATAACAAACGTGACAACAACAAATTTTTCAACTGGGACATCTGGATCAAGTAAACCATAATAGTAGCAAGAGGGAAAATTTCCCGCTGTTTTCTTTTCTTAATAAACAACAACATCGGGTTTCTGCCTCAGATTCTGTATCAACTCGGCGGACCACCTGTTCGACTTCCGGCTTAGACATTACTAATTTAGTGCAGGATTCTATTGGTTCTTGCTCCAACTCTAATCACCAACGACAACTGCACTCGCAGTTGCTGTAGCCACCATCAAAAAACAGCAGTAAGGTCTATCTGGACTTTGTTCTTCTCCTGTATTGTCTATGCGGCAGCGTCAACAGTAGTTGAATGCTACAATGGCCACTTTTCAGCATCCACAACCGTCTACGCAACAACAGGCTCAGATGTCCCACCAGCAACAAACAGCACAAAGCATTTACCCCACGCATAATAACTCAACAGCTGTTACCATTGCTGATTCAAATCCAAGTGATCCATTAGATAGTGGTTTTAGCTGTACATTGTTCACTGGCCATTTACTGCGTTATGAAGATGTAAACCTTCAGCGTATTTGTGCCTGTTTTAATTTAGACGTACTGATAACTATGCTGCGGTCGGCAGTCGAAATAGAGGTGCCAATTCCAATGAGATTAGTGCTAAATTCTCCTTGTTGCAATCCAATCCTAGACCGGCTGGTTTAATTGCACCTGCTATCATACGAGCAAAAGTGAGTTGACCATTATAGTGTTTGAACACAGTGTAAGTATCACTGTTACAACCGTCGTTGCTATAGTACATGCAGATCTCGCTTCGGCTCCAGATCCTGTAACGTATGGTGCTTCTCAAAGGATTCGGCATTTCGCTGTTGGAATGTCCGTGATAACTCCAAGGGAAGCTTGAAATATGTCTCTTGTGACAAGTTTGAAAGGTATTATTCCTGCTGAAGTTCAATCTGCGACAAGCCAAAAAAAGACGCAGTTCAACAGCTGGTTTATCTTGTCATTGCTGGTGACTTAAATGCAACGGAAATGGCCGTTCATAAAGAATTCAATGGTGTCATTTTAGGTATTGCACCAAGTGCATCCAAGGCTATGATGAGTACACTTTGCCAGCTGCAACTTTAAATTCAATTACAACAGGTTAACAACCGATTTGTTCATCTATTGCTAATTCACCTACTTCTATGGCTGCATATCTTCAGTTATCTGCAACACAAAAACAATAGCTCTCATCAGCTGCAATCCATATATATATATATATATATATATATATATATATATATATATATATATATATATATATATAGTGGTTTGTCCTTTGGGTTCCTAGTGGAACTTAGGGCTTCAGTTACACGTCGCCATTTATCTCTGTTCTCTGCAGTCTTTCCAACCTGGCTCCACGACTTCCCAGAAGCTTTCACTTCTTCCTCACATGATCTCCATGTCGGACGCCCAACTCGTCGTTTCCTCTTTGGGTTCCACTCCAAGGTTTGGCGCGTGATCTCCCGAATCGGTTTTCTCAGCGTATGCTCAATCCATGTCCACTTTCTTCTACATATTTGTTGGGCGATAGGAAAGATTTAACTTAGATAATGGGGGCTCTAAGTAATAATAACAGTGGTTATACTAATAAAGTTATTAGTTAATGATGTAAAGGTTAAGTGATCACAAAATTAGTTGCGTAAGATCTCTAAATCGTTTCTAAGGTGCAAATGGATCAAAAAGGGGTGAAAACGTGGTAGAGTTAATAAGCGATCAACGGATTAAGTAGTATGTATGAGACATGTTATTCGGAATAAATCGTAAATGTTCTGCTAAAGGTAGCGATTTTGGAAATGTCATGTCTTCTTTATTATTGTATCGCCCGGTGGCTAGCTGAATTACTGGAACCAGTCAGATGGCAAGTGTCTGATTGTTCTATTCGTGATATATTTGAGTTTATTGATATCATTGAGGATGCTAACACCACCGGTAAAGTTATGTTTCCCTTAGATATTAATTCATTATTCACCGGCGTATCACTCACCGAAACTTTGTTACATACGTGATTTCATCGATTCACACGATATTGAAATAGGAATTCCAACGAACTACTTGAGAAAGGTGCGCATTCAACGATTTGGTGATTGGAGGCAGTGTGTTCAGGCACAAAGATATCCACAAAGCGACATGGATTTCACCAGATGGACACACTAAAAATCAAATCGACTTTATCTCAATCTCAAGAAAATGGAGACGCAGTCTACTTAACACAAGGTCAAGAAGAGGAGCAGATGTAGGTTCAGACCACTACCTAGTGCAAGGAACCTTCCAAATCAAGTTAAAAGCCTTCAAGGAAGCTGGTGATAGACCTCAATTCAAGTACAACACTCGGAAACTGAAGGATGAAACTACAAAGGAGATCTTCAAGCAGCCATCAAGACAAAATGGGAGACATCGAGCAACATCCCTGAAGAAACCTGTGTGGAAGAACACTGGAAGTCTTTGAAAGCTATGTGGAAAGAAACCTGCACAACAGTATTAGGAAGGAAGAAGGTGGAAGACAAGGAATGGATCTCGACGGATACCTGGAAGCTGATAGAGGAGAGGAGGATGGTGAAGCAGAAGATAAACCAGTGCAAGGATGCTCAACGACAAGAGGAACTGAGCACAATGTATAAAACACTGGACAAAGAAGTGAAGAAGAGTGCACGGAAAGACAAAAGACACTTCTACGAAACACTGGCAAGTGAAGCAGAACAGGCTGCAGGTAAGAGAGACCTGACGACATTGTATCAAATAACCAGGTTGCTATCAGGGAAGAGACCAACACAGATGAAACCAATAAAAGATGAAGAAGGAAATTTAATTACGAAAGAAGAGAAACAGAGGAAACGATGGGCCGACCACTTCAAGAAGCTCTTGAATCGACCACCACCTGCACTTCGTCCAGAAATACCACCTGCAGCCGCTGAACTACAAGTGAACATAAATCCCCCAACGAAAATGGAAGTCCTGAACGCCATAAAGCTACTGAAATGCGGGAAAGCAGCAGGACCAGATGGAATACCGCCAGAAGCACTGAAAACAGATGCAGAGACAACA